AAATCCCTCTCATCTCTAACCCTAACTTCCTTCAGAAACTCTAAATCAATCACAGAAAGGGAGAAAGGAGAGAGACACTTCGATTAACTTAAACTCAGAGTTTCGTCTACATTACCTGATTTCGGTTTCGAAAGACTTGATTTAGAGTTCCCCAGTTGATGCTGCAGTTCACGCACAAGAAACACACAGTAAAGCTTCTCGCAGAAGTTTTGCAGGAAAAGAAATGCAAGTAAACCTTTTTCTGCAGAAAAAATGCCTATTTATACTTCTGGGCAAAATTAGATCTCAACGGCTGAGATTCGTTTAATCTTACGGTCCCTGTTGACACCGTTTGGGATTCAACGGATAATCCCAAACGGTACCGTTTGGAACTTGATGGTTCGTTTTTAAATTCGCCTGTTTAACTGTCGCAGTTATCTTTTTTACGGCCGCATTTATTGCGCACGTCATTCCAAGGACAACTGTCACACCACGTGTTACCCCTTTGTCAGATTTTTCAGAACAAACCCACTCACGACCATTTCAACACCTTTGTTTACTTTTCTCAATTTTGTCAAGTGTTTCACTTCTGCTCCGGCCACAATAATGCTGCATTACATTTCACATCGACTTCGGCCACAGTGATCCTATATCACACATTTTATTTCGGCTCCGGCCATTATGACTCCGGTCATCATATTTTATTATGGCTCCAGCCATTTTGACTCCCATTTTTATATTTAAGCCTAGCTCAGCACTTCTGTTTACTTATACAATTACACTTTTAAACTGGCATAGTGTTTTACTTCGGCTCCGGCCACAGAGACACATGTTTTACTTCGATTCTGGTTACTGTGACTACATGTCACATACTCTACCTCGGCTTCGGCAATTATGACTCTGGTCATCATATTTTATTACGGCTCCGGCCATCATGACTCCGGTCATCATATTTTATTATGGCTACGACCACCAAGACTCCGGTCATCATCTTTTACTATGGCTACAGCCACGATTAATTCTAGTCATTATTTTTACACGACCACAGCCATGATCGCTCCGGTCATATTCTATTTAAGACACTCCCAGTGTAATTCACTGTTACCTATTTCATTATTAGCTACGGCTATGTTTACATTTAAGTTACTGACTTTATTTCTTCTTCTTACTTCCATAACCTATCCTCATTCTCTTTGTTTATGCACTCCCCTCAACATCCCCAATAACATCATTCACAAGTGAATGACTTCGGGGGGGAATAGTGTAAGGATAGGTCCGAGGTGCCAAGCCTCGGACTGCTACAGTAATTCCTTTATGACCGAAGTGAGGAATAAATCCAAAGCTTCCCGCTCAAATGGCTGCATGACAAGGACAATAAGCATGCCCGCACCTGATTCCTTACGATGAGTGGCACAGCAAGTATGGTGGACGCTTGTGCATCTGAATACCTCTCAAATTCCCGGTCCCGGAATAATCGTCTGGATGAACACGTCAGGCTCCGATTATCTTGCTTGGCATGACACGTGGGTTCCTCATTGGATCCTATAAATACCCCCTCAGGCCACGTCAAAAAGATAATTAAAACCAACCCTAAGCTCTTTTTATCTCCACCTTAAAGGTAGCCCCGATTATTGTTGACTTAAGCATCGGAGTGTCTACCCCGAGTTCCACCTCGGGGCTTTGCAGGTCATCTCAGAGTGTACGCGCGAACTGAAGAAGGACTTCTGGTTTGGTGCAATTACAAATCAGAAACCAGAATATCGATTTGAGAAACAAAAATTGGGGGTAGGTAGGTAGGCACCTTGAAACGACGGGTTTCCGCCAGTTGTTGAAGACCACTGAGGGTTCGGAAGAGCTGAGCTTCGCCAGGAGGAGCTGCGGTGCATTTGGCCATCATTATCTGCTACTTTCTCTGTTTCTGCTTCACACTAGTCTGAAAATTTATTTCTCTTTCCAGTTTTTTATTCGTCGTTCCACAATATTTCGCCCAACCAACTCTCAATGGCAACCAACTAATTAAAAAGAAATAAACATTAAATAATGAAAATGGTACTATATAACTTTTCAATAAATCTGAAAAATAAAATACCGGACATTGAAATGGGATTTTTTTATTGAAAGTAAACAAAGAAATGGTTAAAATGGTTCCCTTTTTTTAAAAAATTTTCTTGGGCATGAAATACTTAAAATGTCGCTCCAGACAAATATTATATTAAGAAAAGTAAAAATGATAAGGTACTAACATTAAAATTATCTATACATTTAATTATAATTATTATTTAAGTAAGATTTAATTTAAATAATAATTATATTATACTTAAATAATAATTATGATATGATATCTTAATAATTTTAATATCAAAATATTTTGACTTTTCATGTACTTTTATTGTATTCATTTCCATAAAAGAGAAAAAATATCATATTTATGTTAATAATTGCTTTTGAAATTAAGAAAATAAATCACAATTTGATCAGTGGCATGCATACGAGTTAATTTCAGTCATATAGTGATTTTATTCTGTAGTCTCAAATCTGATGGTCTGGTCCAAAATGCTTGTAAAAACAACAAAAATATCGGGTCTCGTCGAAGTGGAGAGACAGAAATTTACATGGTGAATTTACTTAATTGATGATATATTGAGGTACACTAAACACAGATTAATGAAGAAATTACAAGATTTGTTCTTAATCACTAAAACCTGCTCCGGTAAGAGCAACATGTAATCCTGTTCCTTACAATCACAATCTTAATTATGGTAAACAAGTCCTAATTGAGCCAAGCCAACAAAATTAAAGATGTTGACACAACAGCCTTGAATTTTTATTCATGATGAGTGTGCAGGTTCAATACCATCACAGTCAATACAGTTAAGCAATATTTCTCCTGCTCCCAGCTCTTCGACTGCTTTTGCAAGCTCGTAAGCTCCAATTGGTCGACCTTCTCGCCCACCAATACCTTAAGAAAGAAAGCCATTTTAGATGCAAAAGGATAAGACTTCTGAAAAATAGAACTCCAGGGTCATTACCAAACCAAGATGGATAAAAACAGTTGCCTAACAACAAAAATATAAGTGGTTTTTGTCTCATGAAATTTCTAGAAATGATATACAATAATAAATTAATTTCTCAAATTAATTTCTAGGAATGTGTGTTTGTGCAATCCCCTATTTTTTCTCCTCATTGCGTCTTTATATGAGAAAGCTTTCCAGAGAACATCCATTAGATGATTATTTGGAGAAGGCTTGTTGATGTCTTCAATTGCTCAACCTGATTATTCAACGAACAATTCTGATCAACAAGTAGAAGTTTGAAATTAAAAAAAAAAAAAAGAAAATAAAAAGAGAGAGTTATTTTCTACAAATTTTTTGGAACCCTAACTCTATTTTCAGAGGCAAAGAAAACAAGGAGTTTGCAGTTGTGGTATAAATGGAGGGATTAAGGTATGACAAATTATACATACATACCTACTCTTCCAAACCTCGTGCTGGTCCCAATTCCCCATTTATTATGATTCAGTGAATGTGAGAAATCTTAGACCATTCGGCTCCTCTATCTCTGGTCCATCTTTCCTTTAATTTGGGACATTCATTTATAAAAAGAAATTGTAAATCGGAGAGGCGTTGCATGGCTTCAATAGGAGGCATACTCATCAGATTACGACAACTTCTAATCCCTAGCTTTCGAAGAGAAGAGAGGTTTCCTAACCAATTTGGTAAAACTTCCACTCCGTTGAATTCTTTTAGAGTCAGTAACTTGAGGGCAGTGAGATGCTAAAGTTGATCTGGCAAAAACTTTACTTTTTCCCATCCTTCTAATCTTAAATATTTCAAGGAAGCATGAAGGTAATGGATGCAGTCGAGTCCTGGGAACTCCTCCAACTCTGAGCTGAAAGGACCCATCTCTAACTCAGAAAGGGATTTCAGTGCTTGGAGTGGAAACAGATGCTTTAGATTTCTACATTCAAAAATGTGAAGTCGTTGAAGAGAAGTGAGGTTTCCCAATCCCTCTGGAAAAGCTTCCACTCCGTTGAATCCTGAAAGATACAATGTCTCAAGGGAAGTGAGGTTTCCCAACCCTTCTGGAAAAGCTTCCACTCCGTTGAATTCTTTAAGAGTCAATTTTCTCAGAATAGTGAGGTCTTGAAGTTGATATGGCAAAGACTTTAGTTTATCCCATCCTATTAATGATAAATCTTCAAGGGAGGAGCTCAACTGATGAATGTAACTGAGTCCTGGGAATTCCTCCAATTCATTGTAGAAAGGACCCATCGCTAACTCCTTCAAGCTAGTGAGGTTGAAGAGGCAGTCCTCTGGAATACTCCTTATCGTAATGCAGTTTGAAATGCACAAATACTGAAGAGAAATACAGGAGCCTAGCTCACTTGGCAAACATTTTAATGCACCACAAGACGATAGCACTAAACTTGTAAGAGAAGATGCTATACTCGGAATGGAAGTCAAATCCTTGCAATCAAAAGTTGTCAAGCTCTAGAGAGAAATGTAGGATCTTAACCCATTCGGCAAGCAAGTTAATGAATGACATTTGTAAATCTCTAAAGTTTTAAGAGATGAGAGCTCATCCAAATTCGGGATAGCCATCAAATTGACACAGTAGCGGATCTCCAAGGAAGACAACTTATGATGAGATGAAAATCCACCCATCAACCAAGTTTTCAACTTGTGACAGCCCTTAATTTTCAAACTTTCAAGGGAAGGAAACACAATCTCAACTTTGCCTCCTGCTGCAATATCATCATCACCGACTTCAACCCATTCCTCTAAGATTGCCATGTTTCCTAAGGTGAGTTGTCTCAAAGCTGGGAACAGTTTGATTGACTCTACTCCTCCTGGACTGTCAAACTTATGACCCATTCTTTTTACATTTTTGAAATTATTAATATAAAGAGACTTCAGACAAGGCAAAAGTCCCAAACTAGGAATGTGTTCACAATGATGACAATCATGTAATTCCAAATCCACCACGTTATTGGACAAAAATGTAGCACCACCACTCATCATCCATGGCGGAAAGCTCTTCCCCATGTAATAATTAATGGATAAACTTTTCAAGTTTGAGTGAGGCTGAAAACCTTTTGGAACCTCCTTATGGTTGCTGTAGTTTCCTTCCAATTCATTCCATTGTAGTTTCAAACAGTGCAATCTTGTCTTTTCCTCTAGGTTTGCTTTAGTGGCTTCTGATTTCGATCCAACTTGTTCAAGGTTCTGAATATTCAATTCTCCTCTGAGTTGTGTTAAGCCTCCCAATTCTTCAATGCCATTCCCCTTTTCTTTGTCTACAAAAAATATAGGTAATGTTTGAAGGGAAGTTAGGTGCCCAACACCCCTTGGCACATGCTTTCCAATAGAAAAATAAATGTGCCTCAAGCTCACTAGATTACTCATATTATCAGACATCTGTAGAATAGAAAAGCACCATCTTAGTCTAAGAGTTTGCAAATGGTAGAGCTTGGAAAGAGAACCTGGTAGTGCTTTAATTTTGCCATTCGAGATGTCAAGGTATCTCAAATGCTTTAGTTCACCAAGAGCAGGACACAACTCTTCCGTCTTAGCTTGCATTAATTTTAAAGATCGCAAACTTTTGAGATCAGATGCCACATTATTGAAAACACCAGCCTCCTCTTCTATGAACAAAGAACGCAGCCTTTGACAAAGATCAGTTGGAATGTATGGAAGTCCACTCCCATCGTGCTTGACTCTCAAATGTAGAATAGTAGCATTTTTGTCAATCTTGCAACTAGACTTCAAGATTAAAGTTTCATCTTTGGAAACAGCCAATGCCAGATCATGCACCACGTCGTGCATCTTGCAAAATATGATATCTCCATATCCATTCCTTTCCACATCTTGAAATAAGGAATTAGATAACAAATAGTTAAAGTAAGCATCACCAATTTCTTCCATTGTCCTGGAGCTTTCATTAGGTTGGTGAAGAAATCCCTGAGCCATCGAGAGTTGAACTAAATCATCCTTTTCAATGTGGAAATCCTTTGGAAATATTGAACAATAAGAAAAGCATTTTTTCAAAGGTGGAAGCAAATGATCAAAACTAATTTTCAGTATGGATAAAATCCATTTTCCATCTTCTGAATCCAAATTCCATGCATCATTATCTCTGATAACCTCCCACGCACTTTTTTGAATTTCAGAGCTCAATGTTCCTCCGATGACGGCTGCTATCAATGGCAAGCCCCCACACTTTTTGGCAATATCCAACCCAATGTCTTTCAAATTAGGAGAAATTGATTGAAGTCCCGATAGTTCGAGAACCCTCTTTTCAATTATTGACCAGCACTCATCATCTGATAACTTCTGCAATTTATAAATTTGCATAGAATTTCGCACAAGATTCATTTTCCTCATCCCAAGTGCTACCTCTTCATCACGAGTTGTCACCATAATGGAATTCCTCATTGTCCTCAAAATTCCTGAGAGACGACTGTTGAAAGCAACCCACTTGGATTTATCTTTGTTCCACACGTCATCAAGAATGAGAAGAAAAGTTTTCTTCTCTAATTTTTTTGCAAGATCTTCAACAAGTACATTGATGCTGCTTGGGACTACACCAACCTTTAAATGTTCATACATCTCTCTCACAATTGTTTGCTCATTGAAGTCTTCAGAGACACACACCCAGACTACTAGATCATAGCGTTCCTTGGCCATTTCGTATATTGATCTTGCTACTGTTGTCTTTCCAAGGCCCCCCATGCCAACTATTGAAACGCCAGAGACTAGATACTGTTTCTCCCTCAAGTCGTCCAGCATCTCAAGAATTTTCTCAATACCATCTCCCCTTCCAAAAACTTCTGAACAATCAAGGAGGGAGTCTGTCGGTGTAGATTGGTTAGCAGTTGAATGACATTGTTGGCATGCCTTCAGATTTAGCAGAGAAACGCGCTCTTTTAGTCTATCAAAGCGCGCATTGATATTCTTTATTCTGTCACCTATATCAGAACCAAGGGTGAAATTGGGGGTACTGCTTTTCTTTTTCTTCTCCCATTTCTTTTTCCCGCTTTGAGGCTTAAGTTGGTACTGAAGATGCTCATAATCACACTCATCAAGTACATCCTCAGCATCATAAGCTACCTTTTGGAGATCTTGTAGCCAAAGCCTCACAGGGTCATCACTTTCTCTTCCCTGTTTTCCCTCTGCATCTTTAAGTACAGACTGGATCATCTTGAGTGAATCTTCAAGTTTCGCCAGCTCCGTTACGGGATAAAAACGCGAACTTGAACCGGAACCTCTCCACCATCCATAAGCACGTGAAACCAATTTGGAAATCAACTCCTCTATAATAGGAGCGAGGATGAAGCTGGTGACAAACTCAGGTATCATGCTTGGACGCAAAGAAAGATCATGCTGAGACAGAGGGAAAAACAGAATAGTGTTGTGACGGCCGAGATGAGGAAATGAATTATAGATGAAGATCCTAAACAAATTTCATTTGAGAACTTGCAGAAAAAACTAGGCATCAAATTATTCTTTTTTTTTTTTTTTTTGATGTTCATCAAATAATACATATTACTATTTTTTTTTTAACACGAGTGCACCCCACAGATGAGATTCTCCTTTCAAGGCATAGGTGGCCACTTGCACTTCTGAATACATATTACTAATTGATCGAATAGATAAAAGGAAGATCATATAACTAAATAGACTAGCTAGGTTTAAGACAAAACAATAAAGGAGCTAGATGGATCTTTGGAGGCATAAGGAAATCAGTGGAACCTGAAATAAAGCCAAGAAATGAGTCCTTACCAGATCACAAATGCTTAGCGGGACGGAAAGATAGCAAACCCAGAGAGAATTGGGAATTTAGGTGAGAACACCACGCAGAGTCAGCGGAGATAACAAGGAAGTTGTGATGCAGTATAAGTAGGGTTGGGACAAAAAAATCTATAATTGAAAAAAAAAATGAAAATGGATGAAATCATAATTGATGAGTAGGATTTGATTAAATTTTAGACTTGTTTAATTAAAAATTGAACTAAATTAATTTTAAATGATTTGAATTTTAAGATGAGTATAATTGAAAAATCTGATCTAAAAATTTTTTATATAAATTTTTTAATGGTTTTTAAATTTTTTTAAGGTTTTTTAACTACTTTTCATTGAATTATTTATTTATTTATGTAATTTTTAGTTTTTTTAATGATATAAATTAATAAATAATAATTAAAGAATTTTAAAAAAATACTAAAAATAGAAAAATAATTTTTTATTTAAAATTAAAATCAATCCAAATAATTACTTTTAAAAGTACAATTAAAACCAATAAAACTTATTCTTTTATTTGATTAATGGTTATTAAACTTTAAAATCTAAAATTTTAATCAATGATAATTTAATTTTAATTATAAGAGCTATCCCCACCCCTAAGTATAAGTTAAAATGTACATTCCTCGGACATTTTTTTTCCTATCAATTTTATTTAAACTTGTACTGTACAGAGTTGCAGACCATTCTACTTTAATTGTTATTTTCTGCACCACCATTCGGTGGAGCATTGGTGACCTTTGACAGCTTGACTTTGTCCGTGTGTCAGTGTATGTAATAAATAATGGCCCAAGCCCCTTTCGGGGGGCAATGGTGGAACTGGGAAGTTTCCGTCATAATTCCACTTCAATTATTCTTCCATTCAACATCTTCGTAATAAATCTCAGTGTATTTTGGTTATGTACGCAAATTTTGCATTCACTTTCCTTCTTTGAGCCACTATTCATTGAAAACTCAATGATTGAAAAGAACCGCAGCAAGCACCTGGCATTTGATCCGGTGACTCTTGTTACCTTGCTAATGTGCAGTTTCTGTTTCCTTTTACGTTGGATTTAAATCCCATGATATCTTGTTAAAAGGCAAAAGGTACCCGTTTGCTTTTTAACTTTTTGAATTTGAAGATTTTTACTTTTTATGTTATAATACATAAATTTTTATCTTTTATATTTTTGAGTTTGAAGAAATAAAGTAAAATTTAACGTCGAAGTGTCACGTATAACACGTGTACAGTTGACTTCCGTCAAGTATACACATGTCAACGCCACCTCAGACTTTTTTGACAACTTAACATATCAACTTAGTCCCCATGAGTGAAAAAACTACCTGCTATCAATTTTATTTGTGAACCCTACCGCTGACTAAAGGTTTGATAAAAAAAAAGACAGATAAATGCCAGGAAACCGTCCGACTATTCACTTTCCTCTTCCCTTCTTCAACCATTTCTTCAACTTGCAAATCTCTAACATCTCAATCAATCTATTCACCTTAATCTATTCACCTCAATCAGTTTCTATATTTTGAGTTCTTCATCATCAAACAACAAAACCCACAGAAAACTAACAAAAAATAACAAAACGCACTGGGGTTCTTCATCATCATTAAAAAAAAAATAAAACCCACAGAAAACAAAAAGAAAAAAAAAATTTTTTTACCACTGAGTTACATCGAACCCGCGCCTGGGTTCGGTGGAACCCCGAGCGCTTCTTCCAAACAACCCGAGACCTGAATAATTGATCTCCGGCGAGATATATACGGTGGTAGAACAGAGATTATTCATCAGCTATGGAGACTGAGAATCCGGCGAATTACGCTTATATGGGGAGGAGCTTGGGGGAGTTGAGTGTCAATGATCATTCTTTTGCATTTAGTGATTGTAACAGCGATAGATCCGACGAGTTCACGATGGCGGCGTCGTCGTCGTCTCAGAGCCGGCGGTTTCTTCTCGCGTCTGCTTCGGAAAATTTCGACGATCTGATTCGGCAACTTGTTTTGGATCTTGAATCCTGTTCGGTTGACGAGCAAAAGCAAGCGGCTATGGAGCTCCGACTTTTGGCCGAGAATAAACCAGAGAATCGAATCAAGATCGCTAAATCAGGCGCAATTAAGCCTTTGATTGGGCTAATCTCGTCCTTCGATCCTCAGCTTCAAGAGAATGGTGTCACGGCGATTTTGAATCTCTCTCTTTGCGACGAGAACAAAAAACTGATTGCCTCTGCGATTTTGTTTTTGTCACGGCGAGAATGGTGTTACGGCGATTTTTTTTTTGTTATTTATTTTCTTAAAAAATATAAATATTAATTAAAATTAATGAAATATAAATAAAATCATTAAAGTTAATTAAAAATAATAATTTTATGTTTTTAACAAGGTTTTGTAACTTATTTTG